TCCCGCCGAGCAGGGAGCCCGATGCGGGGCTCAATCCCAGGACCCTGGGATCATGACCTGAGCTGAAGGCAGATGCTTAATGACTGAGCCACCCAGGCACCCCTTAATTTCCTTTTCTTTGAATCCTAGTGAAATTGGACAATGTTTCTCATGTTTACCATTTTTTGGTATCTTTCTGAGTTACTTCATTATAAGAACAATTTATTTGGGATATTAACTTTATCATAGATCTTGCTAATGTGTTGGGGTTTTTTGGACAGCTAAAACTTTCTGTTTTATCCTAGCAACCTCCTACAGCTTGGAGCAGGAGTCCAGTGGAGCTGTGGACCACGTAACTAAACGAGCGATCAGTACTCCTGAGAGTAAGTACTCCTGTGACAAGCCGGCTTCTGCTGAGACTCTCCTCAGTCACCGTGTGTCTGCGGGACTCCTCCTGTTGGAAGATAGGTCTTTCCCTAGATGCGGGCGCTCCTGGTGGTCAGCAGCATTGTGGTGCCTTGTCACACGGCATCTCGTGACAATTATAACTCAGCAGCCTGAGCACTAGCTGACTGTGGGTCGAGCGGTCTTCTAAGTGCTTTTACGGGTATGCGCTCAGTTAAACTCCCAGCCACCCGTGAGGCTCCCTGTTAGGCAGGCAGGGAGGCTGAGGCACAGCTTGCCATTCTAGAGCCAGCACTTGCGCAGCCCTGCTTTGTAGCGGTCCCGTGTCCACGCTGGCAGGCACCGGCTACGGCATCGAGGCTGGCCGCGGAGCCAGCTGAGCCTGCGGGCCCACTGGCCTCTTGAGGACCCACCACCAGCTGTGCCGAGAGCCTCTGTCTTCTCACTCCCATGGGGTGGTTTTTCTAATCTTCTGTTATTTCCTGTTATTTCAAAGTCGAGGTGAGTTAGAAGTGTAGAGGATTTTTTCCCATTACCTTGTTTTATAGCTTCTTAGGTCCACGGTGTGTCTCAGTGTGCCTCCCGCCTCTTTGCTGTCCACCTTCCCCTTCCTCTGCCCGCCGGCCCCGGGCTGGGGTCTCGGGGTCCTGCATACACCCCCTCTTGCCTGGCGCGGGGCGTTCATGCGCCATGTCCTCACCTAGAACTTCCCGTTTCCCGGTGGCCGCCGCTTCACCCTCCAGCAGCAGCCCTCCCTGACCCTTCAGACGAGATGAGGTGCCCCCCTCCTAGCACTCTGACCTCCTCAGCAGTACTCGCCACACCTCCACACACAGCGGACCCTCGAACAGCAGGGGTTTGAACTGCACGGGTCCACTTGTGTGCAGATTGTTTACAGTGCAGCACCATAAATTGTCTTAATAGCATTTCCTGTTCTCCAGCTTACTTTATTGTAAGAATACAGTATGCGATGCATATAACATACAAAATATGTGTTAGTCGACTGTTGATATTACTGGTAAGGCTTCCTTCTGGTCAACAGTAGGCTACTGGTAGTTAACTTTGGGGGGAGTGAAAAGTTATATACAGATTTTCGACTCAACTCCCACATTGTTCAGGGTCAGCTGTACTGCCTCATCTGTCCTTGCAGTTAGTCTGTAAGCTGTTTTCCTCTTTACTGTACCCACTGGGCCTGCCACAGTGCCTGGAACATGGGAGGAGTGAAACAGGTTAGTGAGTTAAGTGATGGGACGAATGGCAGAGCTGGGACCTGAAGCCAGGTCTCCCGATTGCAGTTCCTGTGTCCTTCTACAGCCTTTGTTCTCGCAGTGCTGCTCTTGGGTGTGACTGCAAGATGAGAACATGTTAAGGTGTTCTTCTCTTTGGTAATGGTGCAACCCAGGAGCAAGGCATTCATTTAGTTGTATGTTCAGTCAGTACAAACTTACTGAGCACCTAGTGTGTTCTGGCTAGTTGCTGGGCAGTTCTATGACCTGTGATGCTGTGATCTGTTAGAGTGTTTACCGGGTTATAGAGAATTTCCATCAAGTCCTCCTTTTTTTTTAAAGATTTTATTTATTTTTTTGACAGAGAGAGACACAGTCAGAGAGGGAACACAAGCGGGGGAGTGGGAGAGGGAGAAGCAGGCTCCCCGCAGAGCAGGGAGCCCGATGCGGGGCTCAATCCCAGGACCCCGGGATCATGACCTGAGCCAAAGGCAGACGCTTAACCGACTGAGCCACTCAGGCGCCCCCATCAAGTCCTCCTTTTAAGGGAGTAATATTAACGGATGAACAGAACTCCTAACCCACATCTCCTTAGATGACAACTGAATCGTGACTGCTTTGTCATTAAAGCAGTAATTTGGGGTTCTGTATATTGAACAGGTGTAATGTTATATATGTGAAAAATTCAACCTCTGAAACAGACAAATTTTCTGTATGTTCTTTGTTTCTGGTTCAGAGGAACCGAGTGCTTCTATTTTGGCATTAGGAACCATATGCTGCAAAAACGGGGGGGAATGCATCTCATTTTAGTTTTGCTCATCCCCAGGAGTCCCTGATTTCAGTCTTTGGTTGGTTTCCTAGCAGCCTAAGTTCCTCAGCAGTGGAGCCTGGCGTGCTGCATTAATACTGCTTGGATTTGCATGCACGGAGTCATCTTTGCACTGAAAATAAGACCCTCGGGTGTCCCCAGGTCAACAGAGTGCTTTTTCTCTCTTTAGGCTCTTGAATATAAAATTCGTGGCCATCTTTCCTTATTCTGAACCAGGAAGGAATGCTTGAAGAAGGGTCTCCTATTAGCTCTGCTTCCTGGGAGAATTATCAGATCATGTAAAAACACTCAGTTCTGTTTTCTCCGTGGTTTGTAGATACACATTCTGTTGACAACTCTTAGGTGGGGTGACTGTCAGGAAGTGGTCTCAGCTGTACGAAGGCAGGAGGACAAATGCTAGGCAGCTCCACTGTTCGGGCACACTGGTGGTATTCAGCAGGAGCAAAGTGGCTTTGCTAAATGGAAATGAGTCCTTTTCAGAGCTAGATCTTAACTGGAAATCCGTGCAGGGTTCAGCAAGTCCCTCTTACTGCTGTCAGTTAAGGCAGCAGAGATGCTCCTGCCTTTGGTTGTAAGCGCTTACAAAGCGCACAGGAGATCTGAGAGCCACCGCATAGTGGCCTTTGCCGAGGTTGGAGACCTATAACCTGGATGTGCTCAGGCTTCCAAACTGGAAAAGGAGTGTGTACGTAGGGAAGGGGAGTTTGAATTGCAGCACGAGGAGACACCTCCCAGAAACAGGAATAGGCACAACTGAGCTACTGAGTGGGAGCACGATGAAAATGCTGGTCTCAGTTGGGACTGTGAGGCATGAGAGGCTCCTTCTCCTTAAGTCGTTCACGGGCACATAGTACTGCAGATGCACTGTGGACTTTAAAACAGACTGGGAAGATCTGATCGGTACTCCTAAGAAGGCTACAGTGCAGGGGAGAAAGTTTACATCACACATGTTCTTGGGAGGCCTGTGGGCTCTGAAGGACAGTCAGCAGCCAGCTATGGAGCCTTGTTCTGTTCCTGACAAGTGTGGTGACAGCTCACGCAGAGAGGTACAGGACACAAAGTAGGGAGCAAGGCCCTGGGAGAGGCATCGCCACCCAGGCTCAAAGGACCGGCATGGTGATCGGATGAGGGAGACACTCCAGGCAGCAGAACTGCGTGCCCAGACCAGGGCCCGCAAGAGGTCGGTGACCGGATACGGCGGCCGGCAGCGTGTGAATGCAGCACCCGGGTTCCGAAAGGCAGCTGGGGGCCGGCTCGCACAAAGATGGTTCTGTCCAGCTCAGACAGAGCCGGCGGGACCCGAAGCAGAGCGGCCACCTCACCACATTTTAGACTTAATTCTAGTGACGCAGGGAATAAGAGCTAAGAAATTACAATAGTTGTTAACCTTTATTCAGCACTTACCTTGTACCAAGTCCTGTGTTAAGGACTTAACATAAATAATCTCATTGAATCCCTACAACTCCCTTGAGGCGGGTACATCTGTGTCCCATTTTGGAGATAAAGAAACTTGAGGTTTTTAGAGTAGTTCACACAGCTGGTAAGACCGCAAGCCAGAATTCAAATCAAGTGTGATTCGAGTCTGTTCCTACCCTCTGCTCCCTGCCTCCTAGGGGCGAACTGAAAGAAGAGGTGGCCCTGGCTGGAGAGCACTGTGCTAAGTCAGGGGGAGAGGAGCGCACATCGGGTGAGAGAAGGAGAGGAAGCGGCAGGAGGAGGAGCCAGGAGGAAGGCGAATGTAACCGCTTAGTGATTAGGTTCATGGAGAAGGAGCCTCTCATGCCTCACAGTCCCAACTGGGACAGTCCATTGATAAGACTGAGGTTCGGAAGGAACGTGCTGAGGAGCGGGGGTAACGAGGTGGCCAGGTGTCTTCAGGGAGTGCAGCATAGTAGGAGACACAGGACTTGGGAGAGAGGCCGGAGTTGGGGGGTCACTAGTGTGTTGGCAGTAACCGGAGATGTGCAGTGGGTGAGAAGCCAGGGGCAGTGGCCAGTGGGAGTGCAGGGGACCACAAAGCCATGTGAGGGAGTGGTCAGAGGAGGGAGCCAGGAGACCACGGATGGGATGAGTGTCCAGGAGGACAGTCTCCATTGAGTCCCGCACGAAGGTCAGCCTGAGGCCTGAGAGGGCCCCTGGATTGGATTTGATGGTGCTTAGGAAGTGATACAAGTGACTGAGTAAAACTGTAGTGGAAGCTCCACCTGACCTTGCTCGGGTGACTTTATGTAGGTCTGCTTCCTACTGGCTTTTCGTTAATGCTGTTGTTGTCCCCAAATTTACCCAGGGACCATCAATGATGTCACATTTGGAGCAGGAGTCAGCTACATAGGCACCCCACGGACACCTTCTTCAACCAAAGGCAAGTTCCTTTCCTGTCAGATACATTAGGCACTTCTGAGTTCTGGGAAATCTGAATTTGTGTCTAACTCCCTTTCAGAGAAAATTGAAGCCCAGTGTCAAGGAAATGACATTTTATGTTTATCGCTTCCTGATAAACCGTAAGTTTACCAAGAGTTCTTTTAGAGGTAAATGTTTTTGTCAGGGTTTTATCTTTAGTTCCAGAATGACTGTTTCCTTTCCCTAGGCCTCCACAGCCTCAGCAGTGGAATGTGAAGTCCCCAGCCAGAAATAAAGATAACCCAGCCCCCAGCAGGAGGTCACTCCGAAAGACCCCCCTGAAAACAGCCAACTGAAACCGTCGTTCGGGAGTGTCTGGGAAGCAAGAGCTCTAAGGACATGTTGTCTCCTGCCTGTGGAAAGACAGAGTCCACCTCCCTTACCCCCAGGGAGGAGGAGGCTTTTAACTGTGTGATACCAGAGTTTTTTCTTACGACTCTGGCACTCTGACTGTTCACCTGTGTGGTGAACAACATTTTACATTTCTCTTTATGCAATATGTGGTAAAAAAAAAAAAAAAAATTTGAAAAATAATAGAGAAATGCCATAGCTATTTAATATTCTAACTTTACTCCATTCATTCTGATAAAGCATACTCTGGTCTTTAAGGAACACAACAGATCAGCTCTCTTTTATATAAATGAATCCTCTCTTATCTGGTCAGAATTCCCTACAGGACAATAGTTTCCTGTATCTAATGATGAAATTTTGATTGTAATTATTTTTTTTATTCTTATTTATATAAATTGCAGGTTTTAAAGTGTACAGCTTTCTAAAATGGAATAATAAAGGTTAAGCATAAATACAGCCTTCTGGTATTCAATAGAATATTTCTACTTTTAGAACAGGGCTTTTTAATCTACATTAAGTGTTTGTTTAAGAATAATAAAACCCTCCCAGACTCAAGAACTGTGAGAAATAAATGTCTGTTGTTAAAGAAAAAGAATAATAAAACCCAACTTTCCTTTTAGGAAAAAAAAATGACTCCCTTTGTCTTTAAGGCTCAGCTCATCTGTTCCTGTGCCTCTGTCCCGGACAGAAGCTGTCTGCCTCCTAACAGCACATGTCCTTCGGTCCTCTTCATACGTAAACGCAGGCCTGCGCCTGAAAGTTCGCCTATGTGCGGCATGCACTAATGCTGGTTTGTGTTAACAGTCCACAAAGACTGCTCCCACGGGGATGGGGGGGTGCTTTGGTGTCTTTTGCTGATGCCGTTAGGTAACCTTAAACACGTGTGCATTCATGTTTTGTCCAAGAGTGACCAGGAAGAAATTCAGTCGTCAGTTCACTTTTTAACCCAGCACTACAGAAGCAGAAGTACAGGGTTACTGTGTTGATATGTTTTTAGTATAAATGTGGTAGTTGGATTAGAGGGGTAGGATGTCACTGTGCTCTGTTCTGCAGTTCTCCCATACATGAACGGTGACACACGTGGACAGGTCATTCATTGGCAGAGAGAGTCACAAAGCGGCTCTTGAGTAAAGACACTTATCTCCAAATCAAGCAGATGGTAATTGATGGCAGTCTCTCTTTAAACCTGGGATCATGCCATTTTAAGTGTACTTGCCTACCAAAATGCTAGGAAAACAAGGTAAACTCAACGTAAGAGTACATAAGGAAGAGAAAAAACGAGGCAAAGTGGATTTTTTAAAAGCTTTTATAAATGAGGTTTAACAAATACCAACTTACAGGTGTGTTAGTACAAGTCTGCAATGTCTATGTACAGCACAGCTACACCAGAGGCCACGATAGCCTTGCAGAGGCTTCGAGTCTTCAGTCACATTCACATCTTAAAAACATATGAATATTCCTTTTCTGTCTACGGCAACAACTTTCCAGCCTCCATACTCACTTCTGTCAGCCCCAGTTCACATGGCACAAGGCTAGGTGGTGTTACGGTCATAAGAAGGGAGTCGGGGCTGTCCTATCACTAGGACAACCAAGATGGCAGCTAGGGTGTTGCTCCCCAACAATTAGAGAACGGGGACACTATCCCTTTCTACCAAGAGGGGGTGAAGATTAAGTCTAAGCATTCAAGACACAAACGCAAAAGAAGATGGGTACCATTAAGCAGTTATGAAGAGTTGCCCACTGCTTCTGCCAAACACCCTGTGGCAGAGTATTCACAGAACATAAAAAAGTCAACATAAGTCTCAAGTATTCAATTAAAAAAAACCCTCAAAGTATAAAAAATTAAGACACTGGAAGTTTAATCCCAAGATGACTACATCCTTCTACATAAAAACCATCCTTGAAGCACGCAATGGAACTGGAGGCGCTCCTCTGAGAAGCTCCCTCTTCAAACCGCTTCACATCATGAGTTTAACACAGCAATGTATCTGAGGCGAAGAACATCTGCTCTTGAAGAACAAAGGCTTTTGAATGATGTTTCTAATGTCCCACACCCAGTGAGCAGCAGTGTTGGGTAGATAAAGACTTTAAAATCAAAATCAGAAAACTGCCCTTGATTCAGGCATTTCGCTTTCCTTGCCATCAGGCTCTCCACCCCGGCTGCACTACCTGATGTTCTTCAAAGGGCTGGCCTCGCCGCCACCACATAATGGGTTTACTGTGAAGTGAGACACGACCTGGTGTCTCCGTGCTTTCTTCATGGCAAAGAGGAAAAGTGGAATTCATTTTCTTAAAAAACATTATTGTAGTTTTCAGAACTGCCTTTGGCCCTGGACAGTCTGATGAACTACACAAATAAGTAAAATGAATTTTAAAACCAAACAATAGCTACTTTGTTTCATGAGCCATCCACAACGAAAAAGAGCTCTGCCACAGGGGAGCCGAAGGCTGGGATACCACAGGGAAGACACCCACCCTTCTTGAAGTGTCCACCTTACAACTGTCCAACACTATAAAGCTCATCAGCACACAAAGCCTCTGTCAGGCCAATAAAGATGGCAGTGCACGCGCTGGCTAGCCTTTGAAGTTAGTAGCCACTATGGCCTTCGAGTGGGGCACAGGACTCGAGCCCGGGGGTTGGCGAACGTGGTTTCACAGGGACATCCGAGCACTTCTGGGTGGTCTCTGGGCATAGGTAGTCTGAGTGATCTAGGAAGAGGCCGTTCAAAGCTAACCTTAGAGCTCCTTATGTTTCTTTTGGAGAGTTGCAAATAGATTTTGACATTATTCAACTGGATTTTTTTTAAAGGTTTCCTAAGTAACAATGATCGGATGTATAGACAAGGTTTCTCTTGTGAAAAATGCGGAAACTTAGGTGGAAAAAAAGGAATGTTCCAGTAAGCTTCCTTGAGAGGATTTTTGGGGTTAAAATACTCTTTAATTATTGGCATTTTCCAATTTAACACTAGTAGCTTGGAACTCCTACCTTAAGTTGAAATTTTTTAAAAAAATAGGTATTTAACACTGTATGACAACATATTTACAATTTAAATAGAAATTTTCTTTTCAATAACCAAAATACATCTTTAGCAAAAATTTAGAATGTAAAATTTTATAAAATAAACACCCATAGAAAAGCAGAACATTATTTCAGTACCATTTCAGATTTCACCTAAGATGAAGGTTTTATGTAAATACTGGCCACCCCCCACCCCCCATGGACAAGCAGGGCTCCTACAGTTAAGAAGATCCCTTCTTCCAACAAGCAATTTACCTTCCTGATTTGGGCTGTTTTCATAAAATTCTGATCCAAACAGATTTTCCAAGATGGACACTAAAATACTGATGAACAGAACCTTCAAGAAGAATCTGCAGTGCTGGCTGGGGGCAGCTGTGAAACAAGATCATCGCATAAAACACCTCTTTTCTGGATTCCCTGGTTTAAACTCTGCAGCTGCAGGGTGTCGCAGTGGGTCGTGCTCCCAAGCCCTGCATTACCGGTGCTACATGGCTGCCTGGTGGCCCCCCACACAGGACTCACCCTGGCTGACGGAGGTGAGTGGGGAATAAACTGGCTTCACTGGCCCACAGTGCCCAGCCCAGCCTCTGTGGCCAAGAGCTTCCTGATCACCCTAACATTCAGGCGGGAGCCAGGCCAGAAACAGACTGGGAATCAGCCTCAGTGAAATGCAGCTTTGTTTTTTTTCTCCTTGTGATGACTATGCCCATCTCGAGGGAAATTCTTTTATTCATGTGGCTTGTTAAAAAGTAAGAAAGGAGTAGCGGTCAACTTTGGCCAAAACAAAAAGCTTTTGCGCAAGTGTCTAGCTCTGTCCAAGTGCACTTGGCTCCCGGGCTGCTCTTGATAGGAGTTTCTGGTAGAGGTATTTGCATGTGCTCCCTCAGCCACACCATCAGATTTCAGATCACAAATGATGACTTGTGTCTGAAGTCGCCCTGCAAGGCCAACACAGGGTTAGACACGGCCATCCTCTACTGACCCCGGGGCCCGAGCAGGAGAGGAAGAGTGCAAGCCAGGGCTAGGCCCCGTTTCCCTGAAGAAGAAACTTAAGGCAAAACAAATCAAATGAAACCATTCTTCAAAGTATCATCTATTAGAGCCTGCAAACTGTGCACGCCAGGAGTGTGTACAAACATTGCACTGGGAGGGTTTCCAAGGAGGAATGTCATTTTTTCTGCTGGAAACACCTCAATTTCTAGGTTTCCTAAAGGATGTCTGCTCTGTTGCCTCACTCCTTTCCTTACCTCCTCGTCTGTCCTGATATAGTTCACTCCATCTGTCTTCCCCGGACTCTTGTAACTGAAAAAGGAGGAGAGATGGCTTCAGTGACTACTGATTTTTCATGTAATGTCAACTTAAACTTTGATTTTGTTTAAGACAGAAGACTTAAGACAGAAGTTAAGACTTAAGACAGAAGACAGGCTCACCTTTCGCCATTCTGTTTATTATTGATGAAGTAACCCCGTCTGTACGCGCAGCAGATGCCCACGGTGATCAGGGCCAGAACAGCAAGGACCACCAGGATCCCCCCAATAATGCCACCGATGTTCAGGTCATCTGGAGAAAAGAGGGATTGAGGGAAGAGAGAATACACACTATCTGGTCTTATAAAAGCCCCTGAGCCCATTGTGCCTCCTTCCTAATCCTGCATCCTTCCACTTCCCCGCTCTGCCCTCTCATGCCTACCCCAGCCAGAAGAAGAGCAGAGTGAGACCACTTCAACTCTTTCTAGCCCAGAACATTCAGGACCCCAGACCCCTGCTCTCACTTGTAAAAAGTACTGAGACCTCCACAACCAGTACCAAAAGACTGGGATCATTCCCTGC